TTTCTGAAGAAGGGTCTAGACCCGAAACGTCAGCTTTCCTGCTCCTCTGATGCTGCTTGGCCTGCTGCGTTCATCCAGCTCTACATCTTGTTATCTCTGGTTTAAATGAGCTCACCTCTCGTTCTTTTAAACATTGGAGAATAAAGGCCCAGTCAGTTTCGTCCTTCCTCGTGGGGCAGTCCCTACATCCCAGGAATTAGTTTGAGGAAACTTTGTTTTGCTCATTCTACACCAAGTGTGTACCTCTGTTGATGAGGAGACTACACTGTTTGCGGTATTTTGAGAGTGACCTCACTAAGGTCCCTTATTGTTGCAGAAAGACACCTCGACTCCTATACTCAAATCCTCTTTACCTTCAAAGGGTGGATGAGCTAAAGCTCAAATTTGTGGATGTCATCCAAGTTTTGATCATGTCTTATGCAATATATAATGAAGCGGGCTACAAATAACTTGCATGGAAACAGATTTATTTGGTCTAACTGATGTGAGAATCTTCATCTCACTCTGTCATAATGGGGAATTAGAAAGCCACATGCTTTGCCAGACACCTCTTCAAATCAGAGGAAACAGTCATGGATAGTCTGAAAGAATGGGATTGACCATTTCACAGAGGAATGGGAATTTCTTTTGTTCCAATCTTTTTTATTATTTGTGGATGGGCTGTGAGCATTAGTAGCTAGGCCAGCATTTATTGCTGATCCCAAATTGCCCAGAAGGCAGTTAAACATCAACCCATGTTGCTGTGGCCTTGGAGTAATAGACTGCGTAAGGATAACGGATCTTCCCTAAAGGGCATTAGTGAACCAGGTGGTTGTTTACCACGATGGTTGTGTGATTGCTGTTAGATTAGCCTTTTATTCAGGAATCTTATTGAATTTCACCATCTGCTGTGGTGGGATTCGAGTCCATACCGCAGAACGTCAGCCTGGAGTTTGGATTACCAGGCCAGTGGGTTGGATTGTCGCGCTGCCACCTTCCTGATCCTCTCCTGGATGGGGGAAGCCTGTGACCAGTTCGCATCGTCTTTGAAAGGACAGCCAGAGCCTTCAGGAGTGAAATAGGGAAACAGTTACTTCACATAAGGGATAGAACTCTCTTTGGCCAACTGCATTTGTTGCTAGATCAGTTAATTTTTATTCTGTGGCTGATAATTTCTATTTATCAGAGATGTCAAGGGACACCGGTTGATGTGTGAACGTGCATCAGATCTCTGTTCAGAGGGGCTGAATGGTCTCCTCCTGTTCCCTGTAAATAATGCTGTTTGGGAAGGCCATGCTAATGAGCTTTGCTAATGATTCCTGACCTTTCTGTTATATTTTTGCCTTCAGATTTTTTAAAATTTTCTGTTAGCTGGAGGAATGGAGTTGATGTGACAGGATGCAGATTAATCGCTGGTGTTACAGATTTATTGGAATTGTAATTCAAGTGCAGGCTTGAATGTGTAATAGCACTGCGCATTTATTGGGTGCCTGTAAGATAGGAAAATGTTCCAGAGTTCTTCAGGAGCCTGACCATAGGGAGGGAAGATCATGTAACAATCATTATTGCTATCCCAGGGACTTACAGGAAGTGACTGCAGTAACAGTAGATACATTTGTAATGTTCTAAAATTTCCTTGATTCTGAAACCATTCCAGTCGATTGGAGAGCTACGAATGTTGCCCCTTTATTTGAGAAAAGAGGTATGGGGGCTCTGAGCCTAACATCGCCTCCACTTTGTCAGGAAGCTAAGGAAATTTGGCATGTCCATAAAGACACTTGCCAATTTTTATAAATGCACTGTAGAAAGTGTTCTATCCGGATGCATCCCAACTTGGTATGGCAGCTGCTCTGCGCAGGGCCATAAGAAACTACAGAGAGTTGTGAACACAGCCCAGTCCATCCCACAAGCCAACCTTCCATCCATTGACTCCATCCACACTCTCGCTGCCCAGGGAAGGCAGCCAACAGGAAGGCTCTTGTTCCACTTGTCCCTACTAATCAGTGGAAGCTTGCTGCAATATTGTCTCCTATATAATAAACTTTGCCAGGTGTCTGCGGGTTGCTTCATATTGATTTCTCTTGTGCGTTACTCACGTGTCGAATTGAAGCTGTAGTTTGGTGTCGGGTTGATGGTGAGTTCCGTGGCGTTCTGGTTGAAGAATGTGGGTTGTGCAGCAGCCCTCAGCATTGCAAAGTTGCTGCAGTTCGCTGAGATGGCTCGACTGTGAGCTTTACGAGAATGGGGCAGCTTGCCCTGTTATTTTTTTTAAGAACTTGCTGAATCTGCGGGCTAAGCTTACCCGTTTGTAAGTGTGAAAATTGTTAGTGCATTCTGACTGCCAACTCTCATTCCTCACTGTCATAAATTCACAGCTGTGAAATTTTAATATCCTATTTTGGTTTGTTTTTCCATCTTTTAGCTCTTTGTTTTCTGCCTGGACCTGGTTGGACTGCAGTTCACTCTGATTCTGTTCTCGTTCATTGCTCTGTTCCTTTCTGAAGAATCCTTTGGTTAAGGAGACGCACTGTTCGTTGTGTGCATGCGCGCAGTGCTGTACTTTGAGCAGTCAGCTGATCCTGTACCTAGTGTGTGTTTACAGCTCGCTCCTTGTTCCGTTAGGTGATCCAGCTGCTGAAGGCTGGCAAGGCGAAAGAGGTTTCCTATAACGCATTGGCGACACACATTATTGCAGAAGATGGTGACAACCCGGAGGTTGGAGAAGCTCGGGAAGTGTTTGATCTGCCAGTGGTTAAGGTGAGCTTTATACCGTCCCTCTGTGCTGCACGGCAACCCTTTTCAATCTAAAGAGCATACCACTGTAAAATGGCTTGGACGTCCAATATAAATCGGTCCTGAAACTGTTACAGCCCAGAAAGGAAACCGTTCAGCCCAGCCAACCTCTGCTAGCCCTCTGTAAGACAGGATCTCTGGCCCTCGTTTTCCCTGTCGTCTCGCAAGGGGTTTCCCTCTGGCTGATTATCTAATTTCCCTGTGAAAAATATGATTTGTATCTGCCTGAACCATGTATTTGGGCGGTGTGTTCTCTCTGTCCTGGTTATGTCTCCACCACCTCTTTCCCCAGCGCACACCCCCTCACCCGCCCCGAGCCTGCTCACCCTTTAGCATGATCATGGCTGACTTCCCCTCCACCTCAACATCATCCTGCCCTCTACTTCCCATAACCCTTCAATCCGTTACTAACTGGAAATCTGTCTAATTCCTCTTTAAATTTATTCAGTGCCATCAGATTTGCAACCGTTACAGAGAAATAATTTCTCGCCTGCTTTAAATCTGCCACCCCTCCGCATAAAATTCTTCATTCTACTTTTTCCCCACAAGGGGAAACACTGGCTGTCCCCTCTCCCTACAGGAAGAATGAGCAAGGTACACTTTTTTTTTGCCTGGACTGGTCTCTGTGTACACGAACTACTTCCTTGACCATGTGCCGGGGCTGGTGTTAACTGCAGGTTGATTTTAGTTCCCCTAATCGGCACTGCGTTTGTACTGTCTGAGGTAATGGGTTTACAGTTGCAGTACCCGAAAAGAAATCCCTCGGTGCTTTCAGCTTGTTTGCTGTGGAGTGGTACAATGGTGCACCTTGATTCAGTGCAGCAGCTGACTGATGTTGATGTTGTGACTATGACTGGCTTTGTCTGTGTGATGCTGGTTTCCACCTGGATCCTCCTTTGGTCAGGCATCCCATGTAGAGTCGATCTCCCTCTATGTTGGCAGACACAGTGCACCTTGATCTCTCTTCCTTTGCCACTTCCAAGTTTGGTTTCTTTCTCACTTCAAGCTGAAACGTCTTTCTTCCAGCTCCAGTCATAAAACTTTTAGCCAATATTTAATTGCTTTTTGCATCCCCCCCATTGCAAAATTTTGTCAGATGGACACTTATTTTTGGCAAGGAGACTAAATTTTTTTCTTCCTGATTTGTAACAATTTTCATAATTTCTGTATGTCAGTTTTCAATAATTTACGCACTCTGCTTTGAGCACAGCATAGGTGTGTGAAATAAAAATTTCTTTCTATCTCTGGAAAGCACTGAATCATTCAATAATGTAGGAGATTATGAATAGGGTATCAAAGTCTGAGATGAAATCTTCAGTTTGTAAGGGCATGTGGAGGAGAAGCAGTGAAGTGAAGTCTTGAATTAGAACTCCTTTTGAAACGGCTCGCTGCCGTTCCCAGCTCGTGCTGCATCATCCACTTCATAAACATTGTAATTAAAATGCTCAATTCACTTTTTAACTTGTGTTTTTTTTTGTCATGAATTAAATAATACCTTGATATTTATGAGCACGTATCCAGTTCTGTAGCACTCCCAAAAAAAAAGCATCAAACATTTAAGGTCCTGTAGTGTTTGAAATCATTGTTAACCACCGCAGTCTGTAGTTCCACGTGATTTGAAGCTGCAGCTTATGAGAATGAATAGTGTCACAGGTTTCAGTGGCAGTGTGCAGGCCTTCCCACTTTGCAATGATGCTCTCCATTATGGGGATAGAGAGATGTTGGTGCCTTGTGCACTGATCACAGAGTCATACAGCACGGAGATTGACCCCCTCGGTCCAACCTGTCCATGCCGATCAGATATCCTAAACTGAACTAATCCCATTTGGCTCATATCCTTCTAAATCCTTCCTACTCATGTACCGTACAGATGCCTGATAAATGTTGTAATTGTACTCACCTGTGCCACCTCCTCTGGCAGCTCATTCCATACACGCATGACCCTCTGCGTGATAAAGTTGCTCCTCCGGTCCATTTTAAATCTCCCCCTCTCACCTTAAACCTATGTGCTCTAGTTTTGGACTCCCCCCTACCTTTGGAAGAAGATCCTGGCTATTCACCCTATCTGTACCTCTCGTGATTTTATAAACCTCTATGACGTCTCCCCTCAGCCTCCCAAGCTCCAAGGTAAATAGCCTCAGCCTACCTAGTCTCGCTGAGTAACTCAAACCCTCCAGACCCGACAACATCTTTGTAAAGTTTTTGTGCCCTTTCTAGTTTAACAATATCCTTCCTGCAGCAAGGTGACCAGAATTGTGTGCAGTATTATAAGAGTGGCCTCACCAAAATCTTGTACAGCTGCAACATGATGCCCCAACTCTTTGTAGTCAGTGCTCTGAAAAATGATTGTTGAGCTAAGATCCATTATCTGCGCTTCCTCGGGCAGATCTATCCTGCAACGTGCAGAAATTAAACTGCCGACACTTCACTTTCTATTGGTCAACATTGCCTGACAAAAGGATATCACGCGGGAGGCCATTTGGCAGTGTTGTCCAATATGTACACACAGAACTAGAGCAGCAGGAGGCCATTCAGCCCCTCAGGCCCACCCTGCCGTTCAGTAAGATCGTGGCTGACCTGCTGGTGTTTCAAGTCCGATGTTCCCATCTAGCCACGATAAATTCTGAGATCATCCAAAGGTTGTGCTGTGAGGGGAGATTGGACAGGCTGGAGCTGTCCCCCTTGGAACAGCGGAGGCTGATGGGACAGTGCATGGAAGTGTGAAGAAGAGTGCAGTGGTCGATAGCCAGGAGGTTTAGATAAAAGAATTGGAGGGGAGTTGAGAATTTAGTTTTCACTTCACAGCGCAGTGGGTGGTTAGCACTCATCCCCTAAAGTGAGCCTTGTCACAAATTGAAATAAGACACTCGTGACTTACAAAAGCCAGAGAGGTCTTTCAACCAGCACACACTTGATGGGCCAAATAGCCTTCTCAGTACATTTTCTCAGTTTCATAACAATGGCCAATGGTCGCAGTTACTTACGGAGCCCCAGGCATCGACAGGTGAGAGAGAACGAACGGATGCCTGGATTCCTGCCGTATTTGTTGAGATTTTATTCCTTTAATTCCTCCAACAATCAACGGAACAGGATTGGTGAGGAGTGGAAAGGCAGGCCAGGACTGGTGGTCTTCCATTAGAAAATTAATTTTGCAATTAAAATACTTTTCCACACCATGGGATTTTACCATTGACTGTTGTTCTCAGCGGGCTAGTGAAAGTGACTTATATCAAAACACTTCTGACTCCGAATAATTGATATTCTCTAGAATTTCCTCTTGAATTTAGAAGGTTCAGGGGTGATCTGATCGAAGTCTTCGAGATAAACAGGAAAAGACAGGGTAGATAAAGATAAACTATTTCTACTGGTTGGGGATTCTGAAACTAGGGAGCATGGTCTGAGAATTAGGGTCAGAGCATTCAGGGGAAATTGTAGGGATCACTTCTACACACACAGGACGGTAGAAATTTGGGACTCTCTTCCACACAACAGTGGCTGCTGGGTCAGTTGTTAGTTTCAAATCTGAGATGATTTTTTTGTTTTTGTAAAGCAAATGTAACAAGGGGTATGGGCCAAAGGCAGGTAAATGGAGTTAGGTTACATGATCTTATTGAATGGTGGAACAGGCTCGAGGGCTTGAATGGCCTACACCTGTTCCTATGTTTCAATTGCTTAACTCTGTTGATCTCGAATATTCAGCCTGGAGCATCCTTGAGGGTTTGACTTGTATCTGAGGCGCTACAGAACTGGAGGGTGAAGTACCAGTGAGTGGCAATTCCTCCTAACTTTTTTTTAAATGTATGTGCCCAGAACTGGAAGCCAATACTGGGATCTACGTTGGCGCGCAGAATGCCATGCGTGGAAGGGAGTTCAGCAGGAAACATCGCTGGGTGGGTACAGGGCAGTTCTGTAAGCGCTGGTGGTGCAGTGCGAACGTGACCCCGCCTTATCCAGGAGCACCACCCACCCCCACTCCCCCACTCCGGTGAATCTCCGTCACCAGAGCACATAACTCGGGGTGTGCTGCACTCCTGAGAAACTCTTTTGCACTGAACTGGGCTAGTGCCCTGGAAATCGAGCCCTGCTGCTCATTGATTCGTCACAGAGGTTAGTTTTTTTTTAAATAATTGTGTAAAATTCCCCCAACTGTCTGATCTGTTTACCCCCTCTTTTGGTCCCAGTTCGTTAGAAAGCACAGACCAGGTTTCTGTACTTTGAGAAATTGCGATTCATTGCAGATCGTCACTTTCTAGTTACAGGTTGCTTAAATGAAGTAAAAACTACAAATGAGGACTCTAAGCTCCTTATTAAACTCGCCCTTCCACAAGTCAAAATGAATGGGAGGGGGAAAAAAACCACATAGGTGGAGGGAAAACAATTCCGTAGTTTTTTTTCACAAGGTCTGTTGGGTCGGTTTTAGCTGTTGTGAGCGTTGCTTGAGGGTGGCTGTGAATTGCACTTGTGAAGCAGCTGAAACTACGGCTAATTGTAGAGATAGTAAGAACTGCAGATGCTGGAGTCTGAGATAACAAGGTATAGAGCTGGAGGAACACAGCAGGCCAGGCAGCATCAGAGGAGCAGGAAGGCTGACGTTTCAGGTCTGGACCCTTCTTCAGAAATGGGGAGGGGGAAGGAAGCTCTGAAATAACTAGAGAGGAGGGGTGGGACTGGAGAAGGTAGGTGGGATGGTGATAGGTGAGTGCAGGTAGGCAGTGGTGAGGATTGGTCAGTAAGATGGGAGGAGCGGATAGGTGGGAGAGAAGATGGGATGGGTTGTGTCAGGTCAAGGAGGCGGGGAATAGAGGGAGGGTTGGACGTGGGATGAGGCCAAGATTTTGAAACTGGTAAAGTCCACATTTAGGCCATTGAGCTGTAGCTTCTGAGGCGGAATATGAGGTGCTGCTCCTCCAGTTTGCGGGTGGTGTCATTGTGACACTGGAGGAGGCCCAGGATGGACATGTCGCCCAGGGAGTGGAAGGAGGAGTTGAAATGATTAGCGACCGGAAGGGTTGTCGTTTTTCATGAACAAAGCGCAGATGCTGTACAAAGCGGTCTCCGAGCCCCCACTTGGTCTCACCGATGTAGAGGAGGCCACGTGTGCAGGTGAACCCAAATCTGATATGAATGGTTTATTTTGTGCCTTGAGGGTGACGGGGGAGGTGTAGGGCCAGGTGTAGCACTTCCTGCGGTTGCAGGGAAAGGTGCCGGGGGTGGTGGGATTAGTGGGGAGTGTGGAGCGGACGAGGGAGTCGCGGAATGAGTGGACCCTATGGAAGGCAGATAGGGGTGGGGAGGGGAATATCTCTTTAGTTGTGGGGTCAGATTGTAGGTGGTGGAAGTGCGGGAGAATGATATGTTGGTTTACGGAGGTTAGTGGGGTGATAGGTGAGGACAAGGGAGATTATGTCTTTATTTTTGTTGGGAGGAGGGGATGTGATTTTGTTTTTAGAAGTGATGGTTTGATACCTCAGTGTAGTTCACTGGCTTGTTTTAGAGTGTAGTTCAGATTCAAGTACATTGCTGGAGGCTAGACTGGGAAAGACAACAACTTTACATAAATAACAGACCTTTAATGAATCAGTTAGATTTTTATGATCGTTTGGTAGTTTTCGTGATGACCATTACCAGCTCTCCCAGACTTATTCAATTAACTGTATTTCACAATTTCCATGCTACCTCACAGAACGTTGTTTCCAGCTGATTATACCAAGCCTCTGAATCACCAGTCTAGAGTCATAGCTATATAATCATAGAATCAAGTCATATAGTACACGATGCTGCCATACCCATTTAAAAGAGGTTGTATATTTGATTAAAAACTGCACCAGGTAAATTTCGAAGACCGTGGGAGTCCTCTGCTGGACTAGGACAGTGGTTAACTTGTGAGAAGTGGAAAAACATGCAGTGTTAAGAATGTCGAACTGGTATGTACGTATTTATTGACTTTTTTTTTTGTTCTCCTCTTTTCCAGCCATCCTGGGTATTTTTGTCAGTACGGTGTGGCCAGCTTCTTCCGTATCCTTTCAGTGCTCAGATGTTTCACCCCTGTAGGGGGATGGATTGCATTTTGCTACAAGTGAACCTGAGGCGATTCTGCAGTGAAATCCAGGAGTGAAGCGCTGTACAGCTGGTGGAATTGAAGGTTTTCCCTGCAGCTTTGAGCCTTGTCTTCTCTTCCCTGATTCTGTTTGGGTGCTCATTGTGATTGCTGCTCCGGATCCAAGCCTTTCACTTTATTTCCATTTTTACCTTTCTACTGAGGGTCCCCTTCTCGGCTCCTTCCCTTACCCACTCTCAGTATTGTGCCTTTCCAAGGTTCAGAGAAGATGTGAAGGGAAACCTTTTGGGACTCTGGAACTCTGACTGTAAGAGGAAGAAACCTCAATTGTTAACAAGTATTTAGATGTGTAGTTGTGATGTATATAAGGCTATGACTGAATCCTGGAAATCGGATTGGAATAGTTGGTTCTTTTTGGTGCAGACTCACTGGGTTGAAGGGCCTTTTTCTTTGCCGTAGGCCTCGCTGACTCCCTTTTGGGTTAGTCTGTAACTTCCTTCTGTGCCTCTCTGTGTAAACCACAGCCCACTGGAAGTTAACCTTCCCAGTCTTCCTTCCTGTGTCACTGACCGTAAACCCCAAACTTGGTGTCCCGGGGATACTGTCCTCACCGTTTCTCTGTGCACCTCCCCCCTAAATATCTGTCCACCTGTGATCATAGAGTGCAGAAGAGGCCCTTCAGCCCATCGAGTCTGCACCAACACACATAACACCTGACCCTCAACCTAATCCCATTTACCAGAGACTTGGCCTGTAGCCATGAATGTTATGATGTGCCAAGTTGTCATCCAGGTACTTTTTTGCCTGTGCCACTCTCCCAGGCAGCACTTTGCAAACATCACTAGGTTTTAAGAAAAAAAAATGTTTTCCTCACATCCCTCCAAAACCTCTTGCCTTCGCCTTGAACCTGTGTCTCCTCATGGCTGACCCTTCACTCTGTCCATACCCCTCATAATCTTGTACACCTCGATCAGATAGCCCCTTAGTCTTCTCTGTTCCAACAAAACCAGCCGAAACCTGTCCAAACTCCCAGGTAGCATCCTGGTGAATCTCCTCTGTGTCCCTCCGGTGCAATCATATACTCCCTGGAATGTGGAGACCATACCTGCACACAGTACTGTTACTGTAGTCTCACCAAAATTCTGTACAACTCTAACATGACTTCCCTGCTTTTGTAATCTATGCCTTGATTGATAAAAGCAAGTATCCGATATGTTTTTCACCAACCTGCTAACATGCCGTTCTGCCTTCAGAGATTTATGGACAAACATGCCAAAGCCCCTTTGTTCCACAGAACTTCCTAGCGTCATGCTGTTCATTGAGTACCTCCTTGTCAAATTACTCCTTCCAAAGTGTATCACCTCACACTTTTCAGGGTAACGTTCCATCTGTCTATTTGACAATCCTGCTTATATCTTATTGTAGCCGAAGCCACTCACCCTAACTGTTAACCACCTGACCAATCTTAGTGTAATCAGCAAATTTACTAATCCGTCCCTCCACACAGTCATCTCTGCCATCTGTATAAATGACAGCAGTCTGTGCTGGCTCCCGTATTATTCATTGTACGCTCTGCCTTTTCCATCTCTGAGCATCATGTCTTCCATGGAAACTCTCTTTTGCGGGGGAGGGGGCAGCATCACAGCACATAACCCCTTATGAAGCCTTTGATTGGCTCATTTTCTTAAACATAATCTCCTCCATCCTCATGACCTAATGGTATCTGAGCTCATCTAACACTTGCGTTCAGAATCACTTAAAACCTACCTCCTTTGCCAAGCTTTTGATCAACGGACCTTGAATCTCCTCGAGTCGCAGTGTTTTGTGAGCAAGTGATAGTTGTTATTTTCAGGAATGTTTGCTTGCTGTGTAGTGAGTGCTTGAAAGTGCACAGCTTCAGAGACCTGCAGTAGCTCGGGCTAATCTGCTCACTAGCTACATCCCAGTGCCTGCAAAAGGAGGTAGATCAAAATCCTGCACCTCCTGAAGGCCCCTCTACTTCACGAACGCTGTGTGCCAATGCTCCCTCGGGTTTCCGTCCTCCACTGTGAACCACCTCCCCGTATCTTAGACCAAACTGGGTCCGTCTTTGTCATACACCGCTGTTGTCCCTTTTAATGTTTGACCCAGAATAACAAACTCTGCAGCTTATTTCCTTGATGTAAAGCACACAGAGTCGCTGGCTTCTCTCCAGAAGGAGGACAGGTATTCTCAGGAGTTACAGCTTGCCTGTCACGGGTACGTCTTTATAATTTTCGCTTATCTGCACCTGCACCTCGAGACACAGAGAATTCTTTTCTCAGTGACTGCTTGTTAAAGGATTCACATGTTTTTTCCATTCCTTTGCTCGTAGCAAAGACCTGCATTGTGATTTTTTTTTTAGAAAACCAAATGTGGAGGTGTACGACAGGCTGATTATGTTGAAACCGGTGACGTAGAATATGGCCAATTATGTTCCAAGTGTGCAAGGGAAAACGCATTAGTGGTCTGTTCCAGTTTAAATTGCTTGCAATCAGCTCGCCTTAAAATGAACAGCCAAAACTGTTTCTTCAGATAGGGTTCTTCACTCTCTGACCTAGGGCTGTCTTGATAATTTTGTTACTAAGTTTAGTTTGTCAACGTACTGTTAAGTCTTTCCTTTCCCCTATTTGCTGTACGGGAACTGAACTGTGTTTCTAATTTCCTTCTGTATTCCTTTTGTGTCGTGATAGACTGTGGAGTGATGTTTTGGTGATTGCGCTCAGCTCACTCGACCCTGTGCTACCCCATAACACACACAAGTGTTGATACTTTCTGCTGTTTAGCTCCCGATGTAATCAAAACGACTTTGTATGGGGAGTATGTTTGTTGCTTTTAATTTTATTTGCATTTTTTTTTTTCAAACTGTGTATTTGGGGTTGGATCTGAAAGAGACCTTTAGATTGCTGGTACCCATGTGAGTTGGGCTAGTGCAGTGGGTTTTTTGTTATTCATTCACGGAATGAGGGCATTGTTGGCTAGGCCAGCATGTAATGCCCAGAGGGTAGTTGAGTGTCAACCATATTGTTGTGGGTCTGGGGTCATGTAGGCCAGACCAGGTAAGGATGGCAGTGTCCTTCCTGAAAGAACGTTAGTGAACCAGATGAGATTTTCCGACCATCGGCAATGGATTCATAGTCATCGTTAGACTCTTAGTTCCAGATCTTTTTTAAAAATTGAATTCAAATTCCACCATCTGCCGTGGCGGGATTCGAACCTGGGTTTCAGGATTAACAGTCCAGTGATAATACCACTTGGATCATCGCCTCCCTGTGAAAAAGCTACTCATTTATGCAGTCTCACCTCTAGCCTCTGCCCCCTGACCCTGCCAATCAGTCCTTTAGGAGTATGGGTATATAAGACTTTTCACTGCATTCATTTGAGTATGTGTGAGTGACAGTAAGGCTAATCAATTCAATTCAAGAGTAAGTTATCGTTTGGATATTCCTGTGGAACCTGTTCAGGTAGTGTGTTCCAGATCTTCACAGCTCCCCTCGCCCCCGCCGCTTCACGTGGGGAGAAATGTTCCCTCATTCCCTGTAATTTCCTCTGCCAGTTAGCTCAATCTGTGGCCTCTGCTGTGCCAACTCATCGGTCTGTCAAAATTCCTTCTGGTTTTGAACATCTCTATTGTCGGTGCCCCCCTGAACCATCTCTGCTGTAAGCCTGTGGAACCGAAGCAGGCAGATGGATTTAAGGTGAGGATTGGTTCAAAATCTGATAAAACGGGCTGACTGGGATGAATGGCCTACTCGTGATCTGATGGTACTGAAGGTTCGTTCCTTTTTTATGAAAAGGAATTTCCTGTATGAAGAAATTACGTTGGCACAGTCGTTTTTTTTAAGTTGTTCCACAATTTTGATTTTAAAAAAATCCTAATTTATTTCATGCAAGAATCGTAAAATACAGAATGGCATGGTGGTTCAGTGGTTAGCACTGCTGCCTCACAGCGCCAGGGACCCAGGTTCGATTCCAGCCTTAGATGTCTGTCTGTGTGGAGTTTGCACATTCTCCCTGTGTCTGCGTGGGCTTCCTCTGGGTGCTCTGGTTTCCTCCCACTGTCCAAAAATGTGTAGGTTGGGTGGATTTGGCCCTACTAAATTGCCCCATGGTGTAGGCTAGGTGGATTAGCCGTGGGAGATGCAGGATTACAGGAATAGGGTTGAGGGGTGGGGCTGGGTGGGATGCTGTTTGGAAGATCGGTGTGGACTTGATGGGCTGAATGACTTCTTTCCATACTGTAGGGATTTTATGATTCTATATGTTGACTTAAACTGGAGGACGGAATCTGTAGCATTTTGTCCCCCTAACATCTTTGAACAGGTCGATTGGAAACTATCCACAAGATATCACATGGAAGTGTTAATGTGGGAATCTGGGGCAGGGGAATAAATTCCATAGTTGGTTAGTATTAGTAAGAAAGCTACTTTGGTTTACCATAGTTTTTTATTAAAAATTAACTGTGGATAATTTGGATTAGTCCTGGACCTGTCCTGTGAGCCATATCGTGTTTTCTTTCTTTCCTTGTCTGATCGATTTAAGGAGAAGTGGGCAGTGGGGGAGGCTCTGTGTTTGACTCAGTGCTGAAGTATATTCCCAGAGACCTCTGGCTACACACAGTTTGCAGGTACTTTCATGTTGTTATTTAGGAGCACAGTCAAATGGTCAAAGAAGGAGCAGTGATCCCATATATTTCATTGCATCGGTTGTACATTTATTAAACTTCGAAGCCTGGGTGATTTCTTCTGGAAAAGAAGAGTTTTGAAGGGAGTTGGTTATTCCTGACCTTTAATATGTAATGGGTCCTCTTGTGGCACAGTGGTAGTGTCTCTGTCCCTGGACCGGGAGGCCTGGGTTCCAGTCCCACCTGCTCCAGAGGTGTGTAGTAACATCTCTGAACCAGTTGATTAGAAGAACAGATTAATTTTTTTAAAAAGTGTATAATGTTTATGTGTGGAGTTCATTTGCTTGTTGAGGTTGGAATGAACTCATGCTGCAATGCGAGTAACTGTGTGGGAATGTTAAATGGGAAGAAAAAAACCCCCACTATGTTGGATTTGGTGGAAATTAGGCCATCAGTGTTCTGTTTCCATGGAAACAGCATGTTCTTGAGATTTGTCAGATTTGAAACAGTAAAGGATCCACTCGTTTCTGAAGTAATTAGAATGGGCATGGGTCTTTACCTGGTGTAAAATCTTACATACATTAAGATCAAAAGATATAGGAGTAGAATTAGGCCATCAGCCCATCAAATCTGCTCCACCTTTTGATCATGGCTGATATGTTTGTCAACCCCATTCTCCTGCTGTTTGGCTTAAATACACTCAATGACTTGGCCTCCACAGCCCTTTGCGGCAATGAGTTCTACAGATTCACCATCCTCTGGCTGAAGAAATTAGTCCTCAGCTGAGTTCCAAAGCATCATCCCTTCGCTCTGAGGCTGTGCCCTCGGGTTCCTCGTCTCTCCTAATAGTAAAAACATCATCCTCACGTTCACTTTATCCAGCCCTCCGAGTATTCTGTAAGTTTCAATCCGATCCCTCCCCCAACCCTTCTAAACTCCATCGTGCACAGACCCAGAGTCCTCAACCTCTCCGCCAATGACAAGCTCTCCATCCCTGGGATCGTTTTTGTACACCACCTCTGGACCGCGCCCCCCTCCCAAGACCAGCACATCCTTCCTTAGGTACGTGGCCCTAAACTGCTCTCAAAATTCCAAATGCGATCTGACCAGAGCCTTATACAGCCTCAGCAGTACATCTCTGCTCTTGTATTCTAACCCCTTACAAATGAATGCTAACACAACATTTGCCTTCCTAACTGCCAACTGAGCCTGCATGTTAACCTTAAGAGAAACCTGAACTAGGACTCCCAACTCCCTTTGTGCTTCAGATTTATGAGGCCGATTCCCATTTAGAAAACAGTCTTCGCCTCTAATCTTCCTGCCAAAGTGCATAATCTCGCACTTTCCCACATTCTATTCCATCTGCCGTTTCTCTACTGTGGAATTGTTAGCTACTGGAAATGAATAGCACTTTCTAGCTGAATGCTTCTATTTTAATTAGTGCTGGCTTGAGAGGTGAAACTTCATTGTCGTTTATATTGTGCTGCAAGTGTGTAATAAGTAAATACTTAAAAATTATGCACTCTTCAGATGTGTTCATCAAGTATATGTCTCTTTCCATTTCTGTGTTCCAGGTTTCTGCTGAAGACCGCAAAACACTATGGGCTTTAATAACTTTTTATGGAGGGGACTGTCAACTCAAACTCAACAAGGCTTGCACCCACTTAATCGTGCCTGAACCTCAGGGGGTGAGTGTGATGTTGTTGCCAGCATCGCCTGGAATGTACCCCTTTAAGATCTGGATGTTGTCCCAGAACAATTCGCTGGCTATGGCTACCTTTCCCTGTGTTTGATGGAGCTGCGCATTTCTGATCAGGGCTTAAGAGTCATACATCATGGAAACAGACCCTTCGGTCCAACTCGTCCGTATCAACCAGATATCCTAAACTTAAATAGTCCCTTTTCTTTTTATCCATTCACGGGATGAGGGCGTCACTGGCTAGGCAGCATTTGATGCCCATCTCTAATTCCCCTGAGGGCAGTTAAGAGTCAACCACATTGCTGTGGGTCTGGAGTCCCATGTAGGCCAGGCCAGGTAAAGATGGCAGTTTCCTTCCTTAAAGGACATCAGTGAACCAGATGGGTTTTCCCCCAACAATCGACAATGGATTCATGGTCATCGTTTGACTCTTAATTCCAGATATTTTTATTGAATTCAAATTCCACCATCTGCTGTGGCGGGATTCGAACCCCGGTCCCCAGAGACATTATCTGGGTGTCTGGATTAACAGTCCAGCAATAATACCACTATCCCTCTAAACCCATCCTATTCATCTATCCATCCAGACGCCTTTTAAATGTTGTAATTGTGCCAGCCTCCACCACATCCTCTGGCAGCTCATTCCGTACATGCGCCACCCTCTGCGTGAAAAATTTGCCCCTTATGTCCCTTTTAAATCTTTCCCCTTTTCCCTTAAACCTATGTCGTCTAGTTTTGGACTCCCCTATCCTGGGGAAAGGACCTTGTCTATTCACCCTGTCCATCTCCCTTATGATTTTTATAAACCTCTATAAGATCAACCCTCAGCCTCCTAAGCTCCAGGGAAAATAGCCCTAGCTTATTTTGCCTCTCCCTTTAGCTCAATCCCTCCAACCCTGGCAACATTCTTGTAAATCTTTTCTGAACCCTTTCAAGTTCAACATCTTCCATGTAGCAGGGAGACCAGAATTGCACGCAGTATTCCAAAAGTGGCCTAACCAATGTCCTGTACAGCTACAACATGATCTCCCAACTGCTATACTCAATGCACTGACCAATAAAGGCAAGCGTACCAAACGCCTCCTTCACTATCCTGTCTATTTGGGACTACACTTTCAAGGAACTATGAGTTTGCACTCCAAGGTCTTTAATTTCCAGCATTGCTAAACAATGTTCCCTGAAATTGAATTAAAGTATCATAACTACTTTCCAGAAAAAAAAGGAAAATTGTTGCACCTAACAGGGTTTAAAAGGACAGCCATGACCCCCTCCTCCCCGGTTATTACTGTGAGGGAGGGGTGTTTACATGGGAAGAACAAAATGTGGGGTTTTTTGATTGCCTTTTTGATGTTTCATTAATGGTGGCCTTTTCAGAAATGCATTCAAAATGAAGTTCTGTTTTGTGATGCTGGATCATTGTGGGTTTAGAAGGGTGAACGTTAGCCAAGCCAGGCTGCTCCTTTTTACTGTAGTCAGTGCCATTTCCTGGTTAGTTCATTCACTAACCTGCTGAGAAGCTTATGGACATGTTAACAGCTCTTTGGTGTTGGTGAATGCGTGTGGGTGACCGAAGGGGATGGTGATGGTTGTGGGGGGAGAGTTGAGGACCTGATCTCGGAATAAAGAGTCACGCATTTAATGCAGAAGCAAGGAGCAGTTTTTTCTCTGAGGGTCGTGAATATGTGGCGTTCTTAACCACAAAGGGCTCTCGGAGTCATTATGTATGTTCAGTGCTGAGAGCGTCCGATTTTTAATCAGGAAGCGAATGGATTGTTCTAGGAAGAAGGGGACATGGAGTTGAGGATGACCAGATCGATCATGATCTCTATTGAATGGCGGAGCAGATTCGAGGGGCTGAATGACATACTTTTATGTCCGCTGGCCTGGCGTGAACAGCAGCGTTCTCTCTCGTTCTTGTTCCAGCTGCCTGGGCCTCCGAGGCCTGTGTACGGCACAATCTCTAAAATCGAAAGTCAGTGCCACGATCGGCGTGCTGACACCTATTGCCGGGCACATTACCTTGGAGCGGCTGCAGGCTGCTTCGAGGGAGCAAGGTGACCAGCTGAAAGGAGGGCGTGAGGCAAGGTGGATGCCAGCAATAGAGCATTAGGTAGTAGATTCACAGAAGGAGTTTGTGGGTCGTGTTGTGGAGGGGTGCGGTTCCAAGATGTGCCGTGTGGCGGCCCGGAGTTTAGGAGCCATGTGGCGAGGGTGGAATGCGGCTGGAGCCCTGTGGTGGGTCTTATCATTTCAAGCTGGGGGTGTCCTATAGAACATGCCGTGCTGCAGCAGGCCTCTCTGCCCTGGACCACGCTTCCACCTGTACTGCCTCTTTCTTTAATTGGTTTTGCCTTTTCTTTCTTCCCCTTTTCATCCCGCAAATATCCCTGTTCGAGTGGTTTTTCCCATTGGAAGCTAGGACTGAATCTGCTTCCACCACCTTTTTGGGCCAGTATACCTCAGTAAGAGGGGGCCACACATTGCCTTGAGGCTGCCATTCAGCAAAATCTCGAGTGCACTTAGCACCTTGACCAAGACTCTGTGATGATTTGCTGCTTCAAAATAAATCTCCTCCTTTTCCCTGCCCGGAGTTTTCTGCCAATTTCCTTAAGTATAGGCGCCCTGCCGTGCAGCCCTTCTGTCAGCAGAGATAGCTTTAAATTGCTTGTTCTGGTTTGGAAAAGATCATAGTCACATATTTGCTGAACCAGTGGTCAACTGCTGAGTGACTTTCATTTGTTCAGCTGGAATGGTTTTGAGTGTATACTTTCTTGGAGGGAGAAAGAGGGTAGTGCTGGTTAAAGGGCTGTCATTGAAGACACAGATCTCTGAAAGGCTTAGATCCCACAGAAATTGCCTTTTGGGTGTATTTCAATGGGACAGTCTGTGTCAGACCCATAAAATCTTTTTTACAGCCAGTTGTTAAAGGCAAATGTGCAGGAGGCAAACAAAATTGTGCTGTTGTGCAGTGGCTGTAAATAGCCACTTAACAGCCATTCGCCTCAGAGGGGGGATTTCCTGAGCCGACTGGGGAACAATGCCAACCTCTGGGATCGCTGCTTGTGACCTGTGTCCCAATGGTGATGATCCTGTGGGAGTGTCTGCAGTCTTAAAAAGAATTTATTAGCTATAACTGAAGGTTTCTCCGTTCCTGCAGGAAACTGCTTTAATGTTTATGGTGCTGTTGTTTAATACTGGATCAAGTCTGACTCACCGTAAAGCTTTACAGTCATCTGTCTGACCAGTTTCTGTTTTTGGTGCCTCCCGCCCGTTTCAGTTCCACAGTGCTCGGCGATGCAGTATCTCGGCCTGTGATGTCGGTTTTTAGCTGTAACTCAAGTATAAGGTGCCAAAGGGGAGTAATAAAGTAGACAGAGCAAACGTTCCCTGGTGTGGGGCAATCTAGAACAGGAGGCCATGGTTTCGGGATAAAGGAGAGCAAATTTAAAACGGAGATGAGGAGAAGTTACTTCTTGCAAAGGGTTGTGAATCTTTCAAATTCACTGCCCCAGAGTGTGGTGGATGCTGGGACATTGAGTAAATTTGTGGAGGAGCGAGAGAGAGATCTTTAGTTAGTGATGGGTTATTGGGAAAAGCAGAAAAGTAGCGTGGGAGCCAAGATGAGATCATCCAATATTGTGCTGAATAGCAGAGCAGACTCAAGTGGCTCAATTGCCCACTCCTCTTAGTTAGTTCTTATATTCTTTATTTTGTTCTATCTGAGTCTGGAAGTGACTCCTGTGCTTGCTGACCCACTGTGCGTTCTTTTCTGGCAAAGCTGTAATTTTGAAACAAAAAGTGCCCTCCATATTTCCAAATCATTCTCTGCCCTTGTACCTGTATCCCTTCCAACACTGTATCCCCAAAAGATATCTTTCATCCACCAACTCCACGTCCTTTAGATCTCTCCGAGAAAGAAATGGTATCGTGGTAGATATAAAGTGGATCGCTGTAAACTACAGAAGGATATCAGTGGACCGACTGGTCAGCTGGGCAGGGCAGTGGCAAATGGAGTTCAGCCGGGAAAAGTGTGAGGTAACACATCTAGGGAGGGCTAACAAGGCAAGGGGTTATAGTGTGAATGGTAGGACCCTGGAAATTTATGGAGATCGTAGGTGTGTGTGTCAGAGATCTGTGAAGATAGGACGGGCAGAATAAAATGGTTGAGAAGACCAAAAAGATACAAAAACAAGTTGCTGGAAAAGCTCAGCTGGTCTGGCCGCGTCTGTAGAGAGAAATCAGAGTTAACGTTTCGGGTCCAGTGACCCTTCGAACTGATGGTAGTTAGGAAAAAATTTGGCTTTTATGCAGAAGATAAGGTGGGGGACGGGGGGGAGTAAATGATAGGTGGAGATAGAGCCCAAAGAGAAAGAAGAACAGCTGGACAGACAAAGGAGTGGATAATGCATCTGCCAACTAGGTTGATCCAAACTGTAATTGCTTCTCCTGAGCTCCTACAGAATAAATGTGATCATTCCTTTGATCAGTGACATAATTTTATTAAAAATCCTAAAATGTAATTTTTCAATAAAAAGGTTTTCTTTTAAAAATAGGAGCCCAAGAATTTTCTCTATTCTTTCATGGGATGTGGGTGTTGCTAATAAAGCCAGTATTTTTTGTTTTGTAAGTCCCTAATTGCTTGTTAGGCCACTTCCAGAGGGTAGTTTAGAATCAACTACATTGCATAGGGTCTGGAGTCACACGTAGGCCAGACCAGTGAAGGATGGTAGATCTCCTTTCTGAAAGGGCAGTAGTGAGTCTGATGGGTATTTATAGCAATCGATGGTTGTGTTAAGGCACCATTAAGGAGACAAATCTGTTCAATTCCCAATGCATTGATCGGAATTTAATTTTCACCAGCTACTGTGGTGAGACTGGGACTAGTGGCTGGCTAAGGAGTGTGAGGACAGATTGGGATCATGTAACATGGCACGTGGAATGTAAATATCAGTACTATCAACTAACTTGACTTTAAATATCTCTTATAAACTAGTTTGTTAAATACCCAAGTTCTGCTGAAAGGGTTCCATGCATGTCACAATATTGTGAGCAGTTTTGGGCCCCGTATCTAAGGAAGGATGTACTGGCATTGGGCGGGGTCCAGAGGAGTTTTACGAGAGTGATCCTGGGGACGAAGGGCTTGTCATATGAGGAGTGATTGAGGACTCTGGGTCTGTACCCGATGGAGTTTGGAAGGAAGAGGGGGGGATGGTGTTTGTAATTTACAGAATATTGAGAGGCCCGGATAGAGTGCATACGGAGAAAATGTTTCCACCAGTGGGAGAGACTAGGACCTGAAGGCAGAGCCTTGGAGTGAAGAGATGACCTTTTAGAACTGAGATCAGCAGGAATTTCTTCAGCCGGAAGGAGGTGAGTCTGTGGAACTCATTGCTGCAGAAGGCTGTGGAGGCCAAGACATTGAGTGTATTTAAGACTGAGATTCTTGATGAGTAAGGGGGTCAAGCGTCACCAGGAAAAGGCAGGAGAATGGGATTGAGAAATATACCACCTGTGATCGAATGGTGGAGCAGACTCAATGGCCTATTTCTGCTCCTATGTCTCATGGTCTTATGGATACGGTCTTTAATTCTATTCCATCATTTTTTTTAAAAGAAGACGTTTTAACAACTTAAGGCCATTGGTTAGGGACCAGTTCTGTATCACAAATATGAAGCTGCTATTTTGATTTTCAGGTCCTGACCTCCTGTATTTTTCAAACATTTGCACCGTCTTTCTTTCTAGAATTACGACAATTACTCCTGAAAGAACAGCAGGCTATATTTCAACCATCCTGCAGCATGATCCATTCAAATTAGAAACCAAAACATTTCTAATTTCTCCCCAGAAAATTCTATGAACTCCTCCCCAGTTCTCCTGGGTTTAGGTGCAACTTTCTAATGTGAAAAACGTATGTGAAAAAAATCAGAGGAAGCCTGTTAAAAGTGATGAATTCACGTTTTGCTGTCAGCATTACCCTTAACAGGCCTTGCTTGTAAATATTCAGTTGGTTACGTGAGTGTTTTCCTGGTGGTAGGGTGAAAAATATGCATATTATTAAATTGGAAAGGGTTCAGAAAAGGTGTTGCCAGAAATGGAGGCTTTGAGTAATAAGGAGAGACTGGATAGGCTGGGGCTTTTTTCATTGGAGTTGAGGGGTGACCTTATAGAGATTTATAAAATCATGAGGGACATGGATACAGTGAATAGCAAACATCTTTTCCCCAGGGTAGGGGAATTCAAAGCTAGTGGGCACAAGTTTAAGGTGAGAGGGGAAAGATTTAAAAGGGACCCAAGGGGCAACTCTTTCACACACAGCGTAGTTCGTATGTGGAATGAACTGCCAGAGGAAGTGGTAGATGCAGGTACAGTTACAATATTTAAGAGAGTTTTGGACAGGTATATGAATAGGAAAGGTTCAGAGGGATGTGGGCCAAATACAGGCAAGTGAAACTAGTTTAGTTTGGGAAACTTGGTTGGCATGGACTATTTCGACTGACAAGGTCTTTTCCATGCTGTATGACTTTATGACTCTATATGTAAGAATAGAAAAACTGTTGTCAGTGCGGTCTTCATTTTCTGTCCCACTATATCTAAAAAAAAAATAAATTCTATTTGTATATAATAGAATATAACCATGGATGATTTTTTTTGGGGGGGAGGCCCTGTTCTGGCTCGGTGGTAGTGTCCCTACAAAAGGGAAAAAAACTGGTCAGCCATGGGTTCCACTTTTGGAGGCCTCTTGGGGAAAAACAAAATAAAAGTGATGAATTTTCCGAACATCGGTGGCAGAAAGGTTTAATCTGTGTTTTGTTTTGGCAGGAAAAGTACAACTGTGCTTTGAATCGAAGCAGCATCAAAGTGGTGACGCCGGACTGGGTGGAGGACAGTGTGACAGCGAAATCCCGGAAGGACGAGTGCACGTATCACCCTCGCCTCATCGTTCTGGAGGAGGAGGAGGAAGAGGAAGATTTGGCCGGAAACAATGAGGAGCCGGAGATGGACGACAAGTGCTCAGCCAGGAGCAGCCCAGCGTCATCGCGAGCTGCCTCTCCGCTGAGCATTCCGGGCTCCCCCCGCAAGCGGTCGGGCGAGAAGGCGACTGGGGAGATCATGTTCGACGACTCTTCAGACTCTTCCCCCGAGAAGCAGGAGAGGAACCTGAACTGGACCCCGGCGGAAATCCCACCCCCCACCGCCGCCGCCGCTTCGGCCAAGCGCAGGCTGGCTCACGGCAAGGAGTCTGCCCTCATCAACCTGTGCGCCAACGTCCCGCCGGTTCCTAGCTCCGTCTCTAACCCAGAGGCCAGGGCCGGCTTGGTGGCCCCCGGGCAGGGGGCTCAGGGCCCCGAGATGGTGACGGCCTGGAGCCCTGCGGTCAGGACGCTGCGCAATATAACCAATAACGCCGACATTCAGCAGATCTCCAGGCCGTCGAACGTGGCGCAAGTAAGTGGCTCGTTGTTCCCGGGCTCGGGCACGCGGAATCAGTTACAGTGGAGCAGACGGGGGTTAAACGCAGAGTGTAGCCTTTTTGTTTTAAAATCTCAATGATAGGCCAGTGACACGTTGGGATTGCGGACTGTGAAAGTTAGCTAGTCAGCCTGTCAGATCTGCTTTGATGCCATTTGTGACACCGTCTCCTCGTCTAGCCCTGCTCGGGGTTTTACCGATCTGAAATGAAAACCCGCCTTTCCCTGCTGATGCTTTATCTGCTCCACCTCTGAACATAAGGACTCACGGCAGGAGTACGCAGTTCAGCCCCTCGAGTCTGCTTCACCACTGAGTACGTTTGTGACTGACCTCCACTTCCTGCCCCTCACCCATAACCCTCCATCCGTTACTAATCAAAAACCTGTCTGTCTCCTCGTTATTCATTGTCCCAGCGTCTACCTCCCTCTGGGGTAGTGCAGTCCACAGATTCATGACCCTTTGAAAGAAATAATTTCTCATTTCTGTTTTAAATCTGCTGGCACTTAGTCTAAAATGATGACCGCTCATCCTCGATTGCCACACAAGAACAAACAGCCACTTTAGACCTACTCTGTCAATCCTCTTTTTAGCATTTTTTTATACCTCAATCAGATCTCCTCCCATTCTCTTAAGTATAGGCCTAAACTGCTGCATCACTCTCAATCTTATTGCTAGCATTTTCTGTTTTGCCTTAACGGAGATTACAGGGTCTGCTTCAAAGAGATCTTGGAGTGCAGGTTCATGGTTCCTCGAAAGTAGAGATAGTGAATAAGGCGTTTGGTATGCTTGCCTTTGTTGGACAGTGCATTGAGTATTTGAGTTGGGAGGTCATGTACAGGACATTAATGAGGCCACTTTTGGAATACTGCGTGCAGTTCTGGCCTCCCTGCCAAAGGAAGGATGTTGTTGAACTTGAAAGGGTTCAGAAAAGATTTACAAGGATGTTGCTGGGGTTGGAGGGTTTGAGCTATAGGGAGAGGCTGATTAAACTGGGGCTTTTTCCCATGGAAGGTTGGAGACTGAAGGGTAACCTCGTAGAGGCTTATAAATTCATGAGGGGCATGGATAGGGTGAATAGACAAGGTCTTTATCCCGGGGCGGGGGAATCCAGAACAAGAGGGCATAGGTTTACGGTGAGAGGGGAAAGATTTAAAAGGGATCCAAGGGGCAACATTTTCACACAGAGGGTGGTGTGTGTATGGAACAAGCTGCCAGAAGAAGTGCTGGAGGCTGGTACAATTACAACATTTAAAAGGCATCCAGATGTGTACATGAATAGGAAGTGTTGAGGGATATGGGCCAAATGCTGGCAAATGGGTCTAGATTTATTTAGGATACTGGTCAGCATGGATGAGTTGGACTGAAGGGTCTGTTTCCATGCTATACATTTCTATGACTCTAAAATTCTGTATTCCTGCTCTTACTGCAAGATTGCCTCTAGTGTCTGAGGAGTGCAGTTAAATTTAAGTTTCTGCTCCTTATTCCACTAACCAGCGTGGGGATGACTGAACTCTGTTTATCACATCAGCTCTTTAGAAACTTGAGCCTCCATCAGATCTCTCTCCCATGTAATTCTGGCAAATGGTACAATATTCCTAATTTCTGCACATCTTAATGACATTGTCCCAGCTGACATCTGGGCCAGCACGACATCTTATGAAAGCAGAGCACTGTGGATGCTGGAAGTCTGCTGAAGCAAAAACAGTTCAAGTTGAATTAAAGAAGGAAATTGCTGGAGAAGCTCAGCAGATCTGGCTGTGTCTGTGGAGAGAAGAGTCATCCTGGACCTCTTCCTCCCTCTCTCCACAGATGCTTACTGAGCTTCTCCAGCTCTTTTTCATCACAACATTGCATCTCTCCTGTTGCCCTTACACCCTTGCTGAGAGGGGCAGTTTAAAGGGTTATTTTGAGATTGAATTTCATTGTTAGTATGAGGAGGAGACAGGGTTTGGTGAATGGGAGAATTATGAAGCTTGTTCAGCAGCTGGTGTGATGCTGTGAATGGGGGAGCTCTGGAACGGCAGGAGTAGCTGACTGGGTTGAATGGTCACTTTTTCCTGTATTTATCGTGTCGATCAATCAGAATTGCCTGGTTAAAATGACCATTGGAATAAAATGGATTCTTAGTTTGATAACAACAGATCCTGCTGTGGAAAATAAGTATGTTCATGACGCATACTGTCATTCATACCTAAATAAAACAGTAAGTGCAGGGGGTTAAGGAAGACACAGTGAAGTGTGTATCTCCAGAAACTGCTGGTTTGTTTACGCTACCCTGCTGTTCACTTCTCTCAAATGGCACTTCAATGTTAAACACCTCATTATAGTTAAAGCCATGTTGGATTTGCACGTGAATCAGCCTTTAGAATTGGGGATGTGTAAGATTAATCAAGCTGACTATAACCCCATACGAAACAGGAACAGGAGTAGGCCGTTTGGCCCCTTGAGCTTGCTCTGCTATTCAATAGGATCATGGCTGATTCAACATTCCTCATATCCACTTTCCTGGCCCCTTTCCCTGTAACCCTCCAGATTCTCCAACTGGTCAAGAATCTCTCTATCTTGGCCTTAAATATACACAAGGACTCTGCCCCTACAGCTCTCTGATTCACAAAGATTCACAACTCTCTGAGAGAAGAAATTCTTCCTTGTCTCAGTCTTAAATTGGTGCCCGTTTATTCGAGACCATGCCCTCTGGATCTAGACATTATTTCAACTTTTATCCTGTCAAACCCCTTAAGAATCCAATGTGTTTCAATGAAATCACCTCTCATCCATCTAAACACCAGGGATTAGAGTCCCAACATGTTTAGCTTCATCTCATAAGACAATCCTTCTGTGCCTGGGATCATCAAATTAACCTTCTCTGAACTGCCTCCAACTAAATGATATTTTTCCTTAAGTAAGGGGACCAAACTGCTCTCAGTGCTCTAGATGTGGTCTCACCTTGCACAGTTGCAGTAACACTTCCCTACTGTTGGACTGCAAACCCCTTGCAAAAAGGACCATCATTCCATGAGCCTTGCTGATACCTGCTGCACCTGTGTGCCAGCTTTATTGTGTTTCGTGCACAAGTTGCCCCAAGTCCCTCTGCGCTGCAGCTTTGTGCAGTTTTCCTCTGTTTAAATATACTCTGATCTTTTGTTCTGTCTTCCAAGGTGAACAACGTCACAATTTTTCCTACATTATACTCCATTTACTAACTTCTTGCCCACCTTCTTGACCTATCAAAATATCTCTGTAAACTGTGGTATCGTCCTTGTCACCTGTCTTTGCACCTATTTTTGTGTTGTCTGCAAGGTTAGTCGTGGTACAGTCGCTTCCTCCAAGTTTTTAATGTATCTGGGAAATAGTTATGTTCGCAGCACTGATCCCTGTGGAACACTTCAACTGGGCCTTGTCTCACCTTAAATAATGTGAATGATGAAACTGTTTCCATTTGCTGATGGCTCGTGGACTGGGAAAAACAGATTTAAGCTTTCAGGCAGAAGAGACGTGAGAGAGAAGTTTTTTTTTTAATGCAGTGGTTGGTAATGGCCTGAAATGTATTGGCAAGTGTCAACATGCCAACAGTTATGGTAACATCATCATAATTGATTTGAAAACACAGTTGGATTGGCTCTTGAGGGAAGCAAGCACATAGGGCTAGGGCGATAGAGGTGAGAAACAGAATTGGTTGGATAGCTCTACAGAGCCCAGCATGGTTTTGAGGGATCAGATGGCCTCCAGCGCCATAATGGCTTCTCTTTATCATGTTTTTCATCATCTGTCCGAATATCATTTTGTGACTGTAATGAAATTTTACTTGATAACACCCTGTGAAGCCATCCAGGGACACTTTGCTGCATTGTCGGCACAATAGAAATGCAAGGTAGTTGTAGTTTAATGATGAGTTAGTTAACTATGCGGTGACTGTCAACGTTGCCGGCCCAGAAATTGAAAAATTTAACTGCGGAGCTCATTCCTTCAAGTGGTAAATTGTTGAGGGATTTTATTCTTATCGAGTCGGGTTTGCATTTTTCTACCTGTTTTCCCCTCTCGATCCAATCAGATTCTCTTTGTCAAAAGTAAAAGTTGCTGGAAAAGCTCAGCAGGTCTGGCAGCATCTGTGGAGAAAAATCAGAGTTAACGTTTCGGGTCAAGTGATCCTTCCTGTTTTGTTTAGTATTTAACTCATTGCCACTTCTCTTCTAGGCAGTTTCTCTTTGTCTGATTTGAGTGTAATTCATCTGCTTTCTTGGTCGTTCTCCTGCATTCTTTCTTGATCATCACATCACTTCGATGTGTAAGAGCTGCTGTTGGTCCTGTCGTGTCCTTGTTGACTTGTTGTTTTCTCAATGTCATTGTCGTCTCTGACAGCTATCATTTGGACTGTAAAGCACTTTTCCCGGTTGAAAGGTGAGTAGCAGTACTGATAAATGAGGCTAATAGTGAAATGGCCAGCTCCAGCAAGAACCTTGTTTTTAATCTTCTGGTATTGGAATAAAAGGTTTAGGATGTGACAGGGGTTGGATTTGGCCTTCGGAACTTGAGTTTGTGCAGCAACAGTGAATATAACCACAGGTCAGTGGCCCAATCCATTATCCAAAATCACGAGACGTTGAGTATGTCTAATAATTATCGTTCCCGTGTGGCTTGTATCGCTGTTTCTCAGGTTTTCTGATGGATACTGTTATAATCGATCTTTTAGTTCTGTGTTGCAACTGTCAGTCCAACTGATACCTGCCTCACATGGCCTGGGGAAGGAGGTGCAGGAGGGAAAGAAGAACTGTAGAGGGGTATGGAGTCACAGACAAGGGAGGGAGACATTGCTGTGAATATTTCCTAAGCCTTTTGTGTATTTGACCCCATTAAATAACAGAAGCGGTAACAGAGAAACAAACTATTTAGCCAATCACTTAAACCATTATTAAACCTAAGTGGGGTGGTTCAGTAGTTAGCAATGCTTCTTCTCAGCGCCAGGGACCTGGGTTCAA